GGGATTGTCCTGTGTCAATTCACACCATGTTTGAAGTAAGAGAAATCGTGTGGATCATGGTGTTTGCACATGGGGGGCAGCTCCCCCCCCAACCCCCCTGCTGTTTTGAAGCCATCCATGCTTGCAATAAGAGGAATCATCACCATGTTTGCAATGAGGGAAAATCGAAAGTTGTGCAGATCATTTTGTTTGCAGATGGCGGGGGTTGCGCCCCGCCATCCCCCCGCCCATTACAGGCAGGCATGTATGCAATGACAGAAACATCAAGCCATCACCAAGTTTGCAATAATGTTGGGTGTTGATTAGTGTAAACCCCGCCCCCTCAACAAACATGGGTCCTTCCTTGAGGTAAAAGGGCTTCCCCCAAACGAATCTGGATCCTTGTTTTAAGCAGGACGGATCGGGATCGGCTCACGGAAAAGCTCACAAGGTTTTCGGAAAACATCTAGAGGGGTTCTATTTAATCAGGTTCCGACTTTTTTCTTTGGCCGTGAAGCTTTGCGCAGTTGAACCTCCAAACGAATGAGGGAGTGTTGAATGATGCCGGCAAAACTTCGCACAATTTATGCCTCCCGCATTAATCGGGATCGAACATTAAGGGAGAGTTGTGCGCTTACTTTGTTCGCGCTGAGATATTCGTAACATGTCCTAAACCAGGTTCTAACTGTAAGCAGGGAATAGATCTTCAAAATGGCTCCTATAGAATGTTCAATGATATGGTGGTTCTTTTTCCGTTCCATCTTTCCGCATCAACCAGCAAGTAAGTTGGAAACATCAAGCCAGCACCTAAGCGTTATTCGTTCCCTCAATTCCAAACGCCCACTCCTGTCCCAGGGAGGTAGTTGAAGGAGTGGAACCTTGCAAGGCCAGCATATGTTCTAAACTACAGCATATAAAATTTCCCAAGACCCGCAGATGCTGTCATTTACAGCATTCCAAGACCAGCAGAAATGTTAATTTACAGCGTTTGACGCATTCCAAGACCATTCCAAGACCAGCGGATACTGTATTTGCTGTGATGTACAGCCTTTGAGATGTTCTAAGACCAGCATATGTTGTAAATTATGGCATGTAAAGTTTTCCAAGACCGGCAGACGCTGTCATTTACAGCATCCGAAATATTCCAAGACCAGCAGACGCTGTAATTTACAGCGTTCGAAGCAAACTTGCAGCGTTGGAGGTCGTCCAAGACCAGCAAAAGCTGTAAATTGCAGCGTTTGAGACGTTCCACTCCAAAAATCAGCAAATGGTGTATTTTACAGCATTTGACATGTTCCAAGACCAGCAAAGGCTGTAATTTAAAGCATTTGACATGTTCCAAGACAAGCCAAGGATGTAGTTTACAGCATTTGAGGCGCTCGAAAACCAAAAAGCCCGAGCCACACCTTTGCAAAAATGAAAATTTCGCCAAGTCTCATGCCTTCCTCGCGAATGAGCAAAATGCGAAAAATGTAAGACTATATTGGTTTTTGAAATTATGTTCAACGCCATGTTGATGTGTTTTTGAAGCTGTTTCCTTGGGCCATTTTCTAGATTCTAGTTCTGGTTATCTCTATTGGATTGACTTGGAGACTTGACTGTATATGCCGCAAAGATAGAAAATTCAGGCAACTCCTATTAGCTAATTTTCTAGACAAAATGGTCAACTGTAGAAAAATTGTTTGGAGACTGAAGTGCCTGATTTATTGGGTAACCCACAAGGATAGCCCTACGCTGAGGTGGAGCGGGCCTGGTCGGACAAGACAACCAGCCGCGACCTTGGCTTGGAAGAAGTGCTATCGGAACTCCAACGATGGAACACCAATTTCAACTCCAGTGGGCCCCAGCGGGCTCGAGAACGCTTCGCCATGTTGCGTGCGGCCCCGATGGCCGTGGCTGCCCTTGCGGAGCGGCCGCTGCTGCAAACCGCTGTCTCAGCGGATTTGCAGGCATCTTTCCTGCCGGAGCGGCCAGCCTTCGTCACGCCAACGGAGATGCCAGCTCCCTCTTTTGGCATACTTTGCGTGTTGTTTCATGTCTTCATTTGCAAGGTGCCCTCAGCACACGTTTTAAGGCTCATGAGCTGCTCTGCGACCGGCTTCGGAACAACCCTCTCAATGATTGCGTTTGATGAGCTACGAACGTTAAGTGCAGGTTTCTATGACAGCGGAGCACCTCTTCTTGGAGACTACAGCTTCGTCGAAAAGCTGCTGTCAAGAAGGAAGGAGGTTGCTGCCGTATGTCCTCTTGCTGTCCTGCAGGCCATACTGCTTCAAAGTGAGCGGCTGCTCGTAAGTATTTACACGAGTTCATCACAGAGCTCGGAAGTGCATGCTGCACAGTTCAGCGAGGCTTCCCAGCTGAATTTAGAATTCAACATCTTGCAAAGCTGGCTCCAAAAACGACTCGGGCCCAACGCAAGCACTGAAAGAATAACTGCACCGGACAGTACCAGCACTGCCAGCAACATGAAAGAGTCCTCAAGCGACTGGGGCTGGCCGCTGCGTGCCGGCTGGAGGAGGGTTGGGCGCTACTACGACCTTCTATGGCAGGATGTTTATGATTCCCGGGAGGCTTGGGCCAAGATGGACAGCCCGGATGTCGGAGAGCTTTCAGACAACTTGTATCATCAACTCCTTTCCGAGGTGGCCGACGTGCTAGAATCTTTGGAAGCCGAATGGTGGCCGTGCCGGGGCACCCTTATTGCTCTTCTGAGACACGGCGCTAGGAGCGGCACTTTGTCAGAAGGCAAAGTTGACATGGTGGAGCGTGACATCGATTTGATGGTCGGAGTTTCGGATGAAGAAGGCTTTGAATTGCTTGGCCGTGCCATCGAAAGGAACTTGCTGCTGAAAGGCTGGGATCGCTGTTGGACCAAACCTTCGGCAACCTTTCATCACAAATACCAATTTGCTGTGCGTCGGGACCTGCTGTACTGCATGCGAACGAAGCCTCACATGATGTTGGATGTCACCTCTTACATCACTGGAGAAAAAGAGGACAGTCTGCCCTATGTCTTTGTGCACCGGCTTTGTCGGGGAGAAGGGCATGAAGGGCGGGAGGGAGCTAAGGCTGCTAAGGGAGAGAAGCCTTGTTTCGTTTTACCCGATGTGGGTCCCTTGGCACCGGGAGGTGGCACTTTGCCTCGTGAGGCGATTTATCCTTTGCGGCGGTGCTGGGCCTTTTCCCGATCGGTGCCCTGCCCCAACCAACCGCTTCAAACCCTCATGGCCATGTCCCACAGCGGCTTATCGACGGCCTGCATTGCGCTTCCAGACACCCGCGGACGCCATGACAAGCATTCGCAACGCCTGGCCCGAGAAGGCCTCAATGCCAAGGACCTGCAAATTCTCCTGGATCGGGCACATGCCTTGAACAGCCAAGACTTCCAATCCATGCTTCCTTACTTCCAGAACTGCAGCGGGCTGCACGAGACGCCTTTCACGCCGGGCGAAGAAAAGATTCGAAGAAGCTTTGTCAGTCTTATCGACGTTGTGCAACTTGGCAACTTGCGCCGCAACTTGCGCAGCAACAGCCACTGGAGCTTTGGAGCTCTCTGCTCTGCTCAGCTCAGGAAATTTTGGAGGCCAGGCCGCTGCCTACGCTGGCGCCGGCGCCAGTGAGCTTGCCTCAAAAACAAGTTTACCTTCAAGAAAGGTCGTTAAGTCCGTCAAGCGTGTTAAGTTGTGCTACACCTGAGTCAGCCTGAGGTCTCTTGAGACTCGGGTTCTCAAACACGTGAATGGCCTGTGTGCTCGGGGCTTGAAGAGCGAGGAGATTGAGGGGAATCAGGGCTCGGAATTGCAGTCGGGCACTTTCTGAGCTACGCCCGAGGTCCTGCCTGAAGGCGAAACAGGAACTGCCAGGCAGAAGAGCACCCTCCAGCCTCCAGCTCTCTGAAAAGTTTCTCCCGCACGGCAAGGCTGGTCTTGAGCGAGTGCTCTGGTGCTTTTGCCTGAGCAACTTACAGCTGACCGATAGGCCATGCAGCCACCGATAGCCGCAACTGAAGCCGCTACTGAGGAGTTGATGCTGCTTCTCGTCGGAGATGGGGAGTCCGTTCGGCTTCAAGCAGGCGTGGAAGAAAGACGCTTCCAGCAAGGTAGCGGCAGAGAAAGAGAGAGAGTGCGAGAGAGAGAGAGAGAGAGAGACATAGCCCGAAGAAGAAGAAGAGAGAGAGAGACCGTACATGTGGGTAATGGTCCCTCTGCT